CGAATTTGGACATGATTCCTTCACCAAAGTTGTAGATAATGAAGTCTTCTATCCAACAAAACTTGAATGACGTGATTTTATGCATCTAATCAACAGATATGGATAAAACACTTAGAGGTATGCACCCTGAAATCCCACCAGCAACATCTGACTTTATCGGTTGATTGAGTATTGTTCCTTTCCTATTCTGGCCATGATGTCTTCATAACATTTGTACCTTATTGAGTTACCATTCACATGAAATTCGAATAGAGTTATTTCGAGTTCTCTACAATACGTTATACTCAAATGATGGGCAAAACGTCATCCTTTTGGTCCCAAAAGCCGTTCATCACAATGTTTTATGCTTTAGCTCTCATTTTGAAGTTGTTTTCCCAATTTCTCTTCTTTTCTTCAACAAATACTTATAAATACTTATGTTAAACACAAGTAAATATAACGGCTATCAACGGCCCTCAGCCTCAGCGTGACTCCACATCACAATGGCCCTCGGCCTCAACATCACAACGGTTTTGGCCTTAGCGTGATTTCACATCATGAACGGCCCTCGGCCTTAGCGTGACTCTACATGACGAACGGCCCTCGACTTAAACGTGATTCTACATCACAGACGACCCTCGTCCTCAGCATGATTCCGCATCACAACGGCCCTCGGCCTTACATCTCTCCGACATCAAATATTTGATGTCGAGGGCCATCATACAAGCCCCTCGGCCTTAACCCCTTCGGCATCTTTATTTGATGTTGGGGCTATCATACAGACCCTCAGCCTTCATCCCTCCGGCATCTTTATTTGATGCCATAGGCTATCATACAGGCCCTCGGTCTTCATCCCTCCAACATCTTTTTTTGATGCCAAGGGCTATCATACAGGCCCTCGGCCTTCATCCCTCCGGCATCATTATTTGATGCCAGGGGCTATCATACAGGCCCTCAGCCTTCATCCCTCTGACATCTTTATTTGATGCCAGGGGCTATCATACAGGCCCATCGGCCTTCATCCCTCTGGCATCTTTATTTGATGTCGGGGGCCATCACATAGGCCCCTCGACCTAGCCTTCATCCCTCCGGCATCTGTATTTGATGTCAGGGGCTATCATACAAGCCCATCGGCCTTCATCCCTCCGACATCTTTATTTGATGTCGGGGGCCATCACACAGGCCCCTCGGCCTTCATCCCTTCAGCATCTTTATTTGATGCCAGGGGCTATCATACAGGCCCCTCGGCCTCCATCCCTCCGGCAACTGTATTTGATGCCAGGGGCTCTCACACAGGCCCACCTGGCCTTGCACCGCTCCGTCACCTTTATTTGATAACGGGGGTCCTTACAGGCTCCTCAGCTTTTTCATGCAGGATCTAAGGCTGGTCTTGGATATCCCCTCAGCAGACGGACACAACCACCGCTCAACAATCTAGGCCGAAGGGTCCATTCCTTTTGCTTCATTGTGGGGGCATCCGGTGTACTCTTTTTCCCTCATTAGGATTTTTTTTCACATGGTTTTTTCCTAATGAGGTTTTTAACGAGGCATCTCCCCATTGTGGAACAAAAGGCGTCACCCCTCTGCGGCTCCTGCTGAAGGCATGCATCACTCTACTCCTGTTTCCCTCGAGAAACCCTCGGCAAAAGGAGTGGGGGACTGGGGGACTCCCCTCGGTAAAACACGCAAATGTTAAAAATTTTCTATTTCTCAGCTACAACAAGCTGAGGCAAGATCACAATGACAATCTACTCCCTTCAGCAAAAATAATCAAAGTTGAAAATTCTTATTCTTCAGTTGCAGAAAGGGAGCCATCGGCAACTTCAAGACACAACTCCTATTTCCCTCGAGAAACTCTCGGCAAAAGGAGTGAGGGACTCCTGATGGAGTATATGGCCCGGGACACCCCGGCCCACAGACTCCTGCTTCTTCTACATAGGCCCATCAAGCCCGATGAGCACACAAAGCCCAAACGTAGCGGCCCAAGCATGAAGAAGCACACGCTGCACACGTGGATGCCTTCGGCCCTATGGCCAAGGGATCTAAATTCTGGGAGACATCTTAATATGGTCCTGCAAAGCTTCTGGAAAATCCTGGCTAAAATGTTAGCCTTCGGCCACCCGATGCCTTCGGCCACCCGATGCCTTCAGCCACATGATGCCTTCGGCCACCCGATGCCTTCGGCCACACAATGCCTTCGGTCACCCGATGCCTTCGGCCACATGATGTCTTCAGCCACATGATGCCTTCAGCCACACGATACCTTCGGCAACAAAACTATCGACGAAGATTCCCTTTAGAGACAGCCAACCACCGCATTTAATACGGCGTCACATCCACCCACCGCATTTAATGCGGTGCACATGCATATGTCGGCGCCACCCCGATTGAGGTGACCCCTCGGCCGTTAGATTGTTGACACGTGTACTCTCATCGCATTTATAGCTCCTATAAATAGCAGCCCTTATTCACCTTGTAAAGGACATGCTGAGTTCATTTATTACATTTGACTCTCTTTCTTACTTACTTACTCTGACTTCTCCCTAGTTATTCTCCGCAATAACCCTTCGGATAAGCTACCCCCGGGTACACTATCCATCAAATATTTATACTCAAATCAATTGAATATTGATAAAAAGAGAAGAGAACTAGAAGAGTAAAAAGACTAACGAAAAAATGATGGAACTATATATTTCTTCCTTAGTAAGAATATTTTACTAATTAGTATTAATATATAATATTACTACATAATATTAATAATTTTTAAAAATTTGGGGCCCCGTAAATTCGGGGGCCCTGTTCTGGATAACATATTAAACCCCCTAAAAAACGACCTCCGTACAAAAAAAGGATAACACCTCATCTCTAATGTCCTCAAGCTATCTATGAGGATAGTTAAACGGGAGGATGTTAATTACCATACCGTATAAAATTAGACTTAAAATTAGCAAATAGTGAGTGATTCATTTTGTAATTATAGAGTTAACTATGCGAGTTTTACTTATAGCACCAGGAAAGCTCTCTTTTTAAAAAATGTCATATTTGTATCTCCCAAAATAATTTCCTACTATACCGTTCTATTGTAAAAGAAAATTTCTACATATTATTCTTTTCTAATGTATATTCTTCTCCCACATAACCAAACTTATAAGGTACATCCGAGTGTACATATACACTCGGTTCTTTTGTAATTTTCTGCAACTTTGAGGCTTCTTCTCTCATTCCATATCTATTGCACGTTGATCCTTTCGCGATTGACATCGTCGCTCGACCTTCACCATCCTTCATCGATTTGAGCATCACCGTCAACATTGTCGCGACTCGAAGAGTTCTTCCATTGATGCAATATGACTAGGAGCAGATTCCATCTTGCTGCAACCTGATTCGTTGGAGTCTCACCTGGGTTGCTCAATCGTCGGTGCTCCGGTCCGTCAAAATCCAGGCATCTTTGGTCCGTCGCCGTTCCTCCATCTCTGGTGCAGCAGAGATTCTAGTAGACAACGTTAATGCTCTGTATAGACTAGATTCGTTGATATTGACCTGGCAGATCAATCCAGCCCTTGTGGCATCGCTCTCACATGTCAAATGAGCATAACGCTTAAACGAAAATGAGTATATATAAATGAGGATTTAAGCACATTAGCGATTTCAAATGACGTTTTGAAGTTTTTGGTACTCATTTTATAAGTTATGAATGCTCATTTTGTACTGACATTTATTCTCATTTTAAAATGCCATATAAATTCATAATACAAAAGTATCACGATGTTCAATATTGTACTCCTAATACTCAACAGAATAAGTGTAATGCTCAGTAAAAGTTCATGAATGCTCATTTAACAGAAATCATGATTTTCATCTCAATAGAAGAGGTTTGATGCTCAATGAAAATGTTGTGACGTTCAACTAACAAACCTTAAGATTTTCATATTAATGTACATTTTGTAAGTTACTATACTCATTTGGTACTAATGTTATGCTCATTTGTAAAATGACATACAATGCATATTTCAAAAGTATCATATGACATTAAATTCGCATATTGAAATGCATAAGAATTGTTTATACATATACTTTAATAAGTTTTATAACAGAAAAAAATGAATTAGAAAATATGAAGCGTTAGACTCCTATTATTCAATAAAATAGGTACTCAATAAAATAGGTCTAATGCTTAATAAAAGTACACTAATGTTCATTCAGTGAAAACCGCGATTTGTCTCTTAAATTACGAAAATGTCACCGCCTCAAAAAATTGGAACTTTTGATTATGAGTTGTATTAGCTGATGGGCCTGCTGTCTTCATTATTGGACTGGATATACGGTGGTGACCGTACACCCGGATGTAGGATATATGGATTGACTTGTTTTCTTCCTTGCTGGAAAGATCTTTATGGTCCAATAGGATATAGTAAACTTTAGTGAACATTGCTTTATTAGAGAATTTTCAATGCAAAAAACGTTTATAAACGGTGTACACGTGGAATAATGAGAAAGAGACATGTAAAATTCAATAAATAGGTAGAAGAGTAAATCTTTCTCTCTTATGTCATCTTATGTCACATACATATGCATCATGCAAATTGTATTATGAGAGATGCACCACCCAAGTGCATATATAGAATTATAGTTTAGATATATAATTGTTTGATTAACCACCCAAGTAAATACATTAGAACAATTATTTGAATGGGATCAATTCAACGTAGGTGATTAAGTGAATTTTAGTTGTAGGAGATTGGAGAACCTATCCTCTACGATCTTTGATTTCAAATTTCTTCAAAATTAAGTTATTGGAGGTTTACAGAGATTTTCTTCAAATTAAAATTGAATTATTGATTTCTTATATAAAATTGAGTTTCTTTCCATCGAGGTCCTTGTCACAAAATCAATAGAAAATAAACTTGATGATCAAACATTAATTAAACCTGGAAAAACAATGATTCGTCTCAAAACAAACTTGATCATTTGATGCATAGGTTATGTTATACAACACATGCAAACAATATAATCTACTAGCCGTCCAAATAAATAACATTAGTATTATTCGATAAGATGATTATTATTGGTAAGAACTACAATACTCATTTAAAAAATGGGGTATCGTACTTACCATTTACTTGATACTTATTGGTCCAAATAAGTATATCACTGTTTATTTAGACTTAAATAATTCAACTACAACCTTCTAATTGATCCATGTGAACAAATGTATGATATCTTATGGGCACCATAAAATCTAGCTTATTAGAATCGATGGGATTCACTCACACATAATTATTTTTTTAAGAGTAACTAGGTGGTCCCCACCCGAAGGACCTCAATATCAAATACCCTACCACCTGTACTTGTAGTGTCACGTGGCCTGATGATGCAAATATCTCCTTCTTCCACTCTATTGATCTCTACGAAATCACGCCAACCCTGACTAAAGAAGGCACATTTGTTTATTAAGAGAGTAACTTTGTAGTCCCCAATAGGACCTTTCAGGGTTACTCTTGTATTTTGACGATATCCATTTGCTATGCAAAACTCTCGAGGTATATTCTGTAACAAAAACATATGCATATACATATAACAAGCATGAACAATAACGAAATCAAATACTAGTAAGAATAAAGACGACAAATTAAAAAACTTGTCTTAGAAATGGAAAAATGGGGAAGACGGAATGTAATATCTCTCGTTGTAGACTTGAAGTGTTTTTATCAAAATAAAAGTATTAGGGAGTGAAACTTTCTAGTCTAGTGAGGTCTGATGTAATGTGGTTCGTTTAGGTTTGGTCTGCACGAGTCTGATAGATGTTTATTCTATGTATATTTAACAATTGTTGAAGATTGACTTGATCGACTAATATTTTCTAGTCTGGTCAGGTCGATTTAAGTTTGATTTGGTCTGGTTTGAAGCAAAAATTAGTCCCATTGACAACATTCCTTTATTAACCCATGGAGGTTCGGGAGAGAAGGCTGGAACCCCTGGAGTAAACATGGCTGAAACTGTTTCCATGGAATTTCGAACTCGAGACCTTCCATATGGAAAAGTGAGTCGGCCATCAATTTGTTGGAAATTTATTGGAAAATAAAGCTCAATAGTTATATTACATGATCTTTAATCAAGTTATAAACAAAAGATGTGATTTATTAAAATGATGATATTTAAATATAATTATTATATTATCATTTACATTATGAGCACACTTGTGCACGTGTGGTCTCATAATGTATATAATAATATTATACTACGTATGTTTGCACTTAAAGTGTTCAATTCAAATATTAAATTTTGAACTTTAGTGAATTCGGTGTTGCAACCTTTTATGAGGGTGTGGGCAAATTTTATACTCCTTCCGGTCCTTAATTAAGTTTACACTTTTCTTTTTGGACCGTCCCATATTAAACTTTACACTTCCTTATTTGCCTTATTTGGCAAACAAATCTACACCAAACAGTGTTAAACAGTGCCAAAAGGTGTCAAACAGTGTCAAATAGTGTACTCTACAGTAAAGTCAAACTTATTTCTTTAATATGTGTGAAGTCAAAGTGTAAATTTATTTCTAGTACTGATCCATTGTTAACTTTGTGTGTATCTGGAGAACTACTTGCTAATGTAAATGTTGACCAATACTCTTGAAGACCTAATTACTTTTGCAAAGATGGTTGCAGATAAGGATATTTACTATGATTGAGGCATTTTATCAAACACTTTGTATGCATGACAATAGTTTTTTTCCTGTTAAACATAGGAAGAATAACTTAACTTCTATAATTTGTGAAGTCGTTTACTTCTTTTGCAGCAAGACTGTAAACAGGGCAAATACCAGTGAACCTATACGTTGAGGAAGAATAAATTAACTTCTTAAGATATACGTTGAGGATATCTTAATTCCTCAGTGTAGTCGCACAACAATTTAATAAAGTATGCCGTTGGGAAAATGAATTTGAATGTGAAGATCTGTAGTTGTTTGTGATAGCAAGTGGATTAACGAATAGAAAAGCAATGAAATTACATGAAAGGGGATTTATGCATCTGAAGAAGTACATGGAATGGTGAGCATACATGTTTGTTCGTGCGGGCAGAGGCGGTAAAGGGCGGAAACAGTCGGAACTCTCCCTGTTCAAATGAAAACTAATAACCTTCATGGGCATCGGTAGAGGTTGCTGGTGGTTGCTGGCGGTTTCTGCGTGTTGATAACCGAACCGCTATGTTGAAGAGGCGTGTGCGGTTGAGAAGACTGGCCGACTCATGTCGTTATTTGCAATCCGTAATTGCAATCCTTAAAGCTCAGGAAGATGCTAAAAATTTGATGGAAGCTTTAACAGAAAAAGGACCATGTAACTCTAATTGGCGTTTATTTATTAAGCAGCGATTTTAATCCGCCAGTTCTAACAATCTAAAAGTTTACTATTCAGAAAATATGGCCACGTCTCAACGCGATATCATCAACACCAATTTTCAAAAATTGGAAAAGTTTGAAGGTGTGGAGTTTCGAAGGTGGCAGAAAAAGATGCATTTTCGACTCACTACTTTGAAAGTGGTTTATGTGTTAAGCACCCCAAGGCCGCCCGAGGAAGAAGAAAACGAGTTTTTGGAGACAAGCCGTCGCCGCATAAAGTGGGACAATGATGACTATATCTGCCGTGGGCACATTTTGAATGGTGTGTGCGATTCTCTATTTGATGTGTATCAAAATGTTGAGTATGCTAAAACGTTGTGGGAATCTCTAGAATCCAAATATATGACCGAAGATGATTCAAGTAAGAAATTTTTCATTAGTAACTTTAATAGTTACAAAATGGTGGATTCCCGTCCGGTCATGGAGCAATTTCATGAGATTCAACGTTTATATGATCAAATTTTGATACATAACATGCATGTTAATGAAACCTTTGTGGTCGGCTCTATAATCGACAAATTACCACCTTCGTGGAAGGAAGTGAAAAATAGTCTCAAACGCAAAAAGGAGGATTTGTCAATGGAGCAACTTGGTCATCGACTTCAAATTGAAGAAGGCATTAAGTTGCGTGAAGGTGACAATGGTAAAAAGAACGACCTTCCAATTTTCTCTATAAATGTTATGGAGGAGGGACAGTCAAGTGGGACTAAGAAAAATAAAAAAACGTCTCGAGAAATTCACCAAATGTTTCAAGTTTCAAAAGAAGCCGAAAGATAAGAAAGTAGGCTCTTGTTGGGAATTTGATGGTCCACATTTCAAGAGGGACTGCCTGAGGGTGATGAAGAAGAAATCCCAACCGAACGGCCATCCAAACGGTGGCCAAGACAACCAAGGTCAGATTTTCTTGTAATTACAAATGATGTTGATAACAACATGATTTTTGTAGCTATGCTTTCTGAAATTTGTGTTGTACAGGATGATGAATCTTGGTGTATCGACACCGGAGCAACAAGGCATGTATGTAAAGATAGGGGCCGATCTTATACATGGGAAATGACTCTACTGTGCAAATTTAAGGAATGGTGCAAGTAGAGTTGGAATTAACTTCCGGAAAGAAATTAATTCTTAGTGATGTGTACTTTGTACCACAAATCCGGAAAAATCTTGTCTCCGGTGGCATCCTAAATAACTTTGGGTTTAAACTTAGCTTTGAAGCAAATAAGTTTATTTCATCTAAGGGTGGTGTATTTGTTGGCCAAGGTTTCTATTGTAATGGCATGTTCAAACTGAGTGTTGTAAATAAAGTTGTTAATTCTGTTTATATGGTTTGCGATTCTTCTTTGTGGCACAATAGGTTATGTCATGTTAATTATCGTAGACTAAATGATATGTCTAAGGTAGGTTTAATTCCTCCTTTTAATATTAACATAGAAAAATGTAGAACTTGCATGTTAAACAAAATCACTAGAAACTCTTTTCAAAATGTTGAAAGAAAATCCAACATGTTTGAATTAGTGCATAGTGATTTGTGTGATTTCCATAACACTCATTCTTTTGGAAATAAAAAATATGTAGTCATATTTATTGATAATTGCACAAGATATTGTTATATATATCTTTTATTTTCAAAAGATGAGGCAATGGATAAATTCAAAGTTTTTAAAACGGAAGTTGAGTTACAAACCGGAAAGAAAGTAAAAAGGCTTAGAACTGACAAAGGAGGAGAATATTATGAGCCTAAATTTTTTGAATCCGTTGGAATAATCCATGAAACAACGGCCCCTTAGATGCCGCAACAAAACGGCATAGCTTAAAGAAAGAATAAAACTTTAAAAGAAATGGTTAATTCCATGTTGTCTAATTCAGGATTAAGTAATGGATTTTGGGGTGATGCTATGTTAAGTGCTTGTTATATTCTTAATCGAGTTCCTAACAAGAGAAATAAAATAACCCCATATGAACTTTGGCACAAGAGAACGCCCCAACTAAGTTATCTTAGGGTATGGGGTTGTAGGGCTATCGTGAGATTACCGGAACCTAAACGAAAAACATTAGGTGAAAAAGGGGTAGAGTGCATATTCATTGGATATGTTGAACATAGTAAATCATATCGATTCTATGCTATTGAACCGAATGACTCAATTGCAGTTCATACTGTGATTGAGTCTAGGGATGCTCTTTTCGATGAGAAGCGGTTCACTTCTATTCCTAGGCCAAAGGATGTTGATCTCGATCCAAATAATTTAAATTTTCATGAACTGGAAAAGGATCATGAAAATGAGCCTGAAATTAGACGAAGTAAGAGGGCTAAAAAGGAAAAGTCATTTGGTCCTGATTTCCAATTATATTGGGTTGAAGGATCAAGAGAGACCCTTGTAACTCAAACACTATATTGTTATAGTGTTGAGAAGGATCCTAACTCTTTTGAGGAGGCAAAGAAATCACAACATGCTTCCTTTTGGAAAGAGGCCGTGAACGATGAAATGGATTCAATCATGGGCAATAACACTTGGGTTCTAAGTGATTTACCACCTGGTTGCACACCAATCGGTTGTAAATGGATTTTCAAGAAGAAAATGAAAGTAGACAGTACCATTGACAAGTTTAAAGCTAGATTGGTTGCAAAAGGCTTTAAACAAAAACATGGTATTGATTACTTTGATACATATGCACCGGTAGCTAGAATAACTACCATAAGATTGTTAATTGCTTTATCAGCCATTCACAATCTTGTGATTCACCAAATGGATGTCAAACTGCATTCTTAAATGGTGAATTGGAGGAGGAGGTGTATATGAAACAACCCGAAGGGTTTGTTGTTAAATGACAAGAAAAGAAAGTTTGTAAACTTGTCAAGTCCTTGTATGGTCTGAAACAAGCACCTAAACAATGGCATCAAAGATTTGATGAGATGGTGCTAAAAAATGGTTTAAAATAAACCAATCAGACAAGTGCGTATATAGCAAATTTAATGAGCATGATAACGGTGTCATTATTTGTCTATATGTGGATGACATGCTCATATTTGGCACTGATTTGAGGCAAGTGAAAGAGACAAAAGCTTTCCTCTGTTCAAACTTCTCCATGAAGGATATGAGTGAAGCGAAAGTTATCCTTGGAATTAGGATAATAAAACAAGGTGATACTATCACCTTAACACAATCTCACTATATAGAGAAAATGTTGAAAAGATTTGGGAGTTTGGATTGCTCACCGGTCTCCACTCCTATGGATCCTAGCTGGAAATTAGTCCAAATAGTGGGAATATTGTATCACAGCTAGAGTATGCTAGGGTAATTGGGTGTCTGATGTATGCAATGACTAGCACCCGACCAGATATAGCATTTGCGGTAGGCAAGCTAAGTAGATATACTAGTAACCCTGATATATTTCATTGGCAAGCCTTGAAACGAGTGCTAAAATATCAAAGGAAAACAATGAGCTTCGGCTTATGTTACAAGAGTGAACCCTCTATATTAGAAGGTTATACGGATGCAAGTTGGATAACTAATCAAGAGGATTATTCATCCACGAGTGGATGATTATTTCTTCTTGGAGGAGGTGTTGTATCATGGACATCTAAGAAACAAACTTGTATCACAGACTCTACCATGGCTTCAGAGTTTATAACTTTAGCATCAACTTGTAAAGAAGCGGAATGATTAAAGGATTTAGTGTCAGAAGTCCCAATATGGCCTAAACCTATGGCTCTGATATCAATCCATTGTGATAGTGCATCAACTCTATCGAGAGCTTATAACCATGTGTACAATGGTAAGTCAAGGCACATAGGAGAGACACAGCTATTTGCAGGAACTTATTAGTTCTGCAGTTGTTGTGATTGATTTTGTACGAACACATGTGAATTTGGCTGATCCTTTTACAAAAGCGATACCAAGGGACATGGTGTACAAAACGACAAAAGGGATGGGGTTAAAGCCCTTGGAAAATAATCACAAGTGAAAGAAAGCCCAACTCAACATCTAGTACAACGCTAGATCATAAGTTCAATGACGATGAGTAAGTCACTCCGTGATTGAAGCACTTTTGAATAATAATCATCCCAAGGTAAGTGCTTGAGTCTGCAATGTGTAATGAGGTTGACTATGTCTTAATAGATCTTTTGATAAAGTGTTTGAATGCAGAACACAATTTGAAAAGACCTACATATGTGAGCTAGAATTGCGACCGATTCACCAAGTTTAAGACTTTACTTGTTGGAGCTCATGAATGGATATGGACACAAGGTCGTTAATAGTGTCAAGTTTCTAAGTGAAATTGTATTAAGATTTATTTGTGTAATATCTTCATTATTTCAAAGAGGTTATATTGTTCAAAGCTTAGTCTACTATTATGATCCGAAATATTGTAAAGAATATTGCACTAAATGAAAGTTCAATCTTTACGATACTTTTAATTATGCATAAATCTTGATAAGTGATCTATATGGCAAGTATGGAGCATCTTTATTTTCAATAAATGGAGTAGGATTGTTGAAAATTTATTGAAAAATAAAACTCAATAGTTATATTACATGGTCCTTAATCATCTTATAAACAAATGATGATGTGATTTATTAAAATGATGTTATTTAAATATAATTACGAGTATTATATTATCATTTACATTATGAGTACACTTGTGCACGTGTGATCTCATAATGTAAATAATAATATTATATGTTTGCAGTTAAGTGTTCAATTCATATATTAAATTTTGAACTTTAGTGAATTCGGTGTTGCAACCTTTTATGAGGGTGTGGGCAAATTTTATATTAAATTAATTATAAATCCTTTGTGTGAATAAATGGAGCGAATGGACTTTTATATAAGTGGACGTGTTCTTTTAGAACAACCACTTTCGTTGCTTTTCATCAAAAGGCTTCTTTGACGATTCAACTAAAGAAGTTTTTCGGTTGATTTTTTGTAGTGCCGGTTTAGAGAATTACCTTTCACTTATAAATAACAAGAGGACCATGTTGAACAACTACGAATGAAAATTCATTTTTCAAACTACTCTTGCCTTACTAAATTCTAATATGTGCAGAGTTAGTATTGAAGTGTTTAGATCACTTTATATACAATTATTTGTTAAGTGTTATTTTATCAGTAGCTAAAATACACATGTAAACTCAAAAGTTCTATTTTGTAACTCGGTTACTGTGATAAGGGTATATAGTAAACTTTTAGGAAAGTGTAAGTATTTTATACGTGACTAGAAGTGATATCCTTATATTTTACTATTTTTATCCGTCAGTTCCAACACAATTCAACTGGGTCCGCTTCCTCAAAAATCCTAAATGTGTACTCGTATAATTTAGTGAGGCTCAAAATTATATTTTGATTACTCAAAATAATTATGTCTCTATTTACTACTCCCTCCGTTCCTAAAAATTCTTCCCGGTTTGACTTGGCACGCTTATTAAGAAAGTGGAATAAAGTGGAAATATATGGTCGTGATTGTGTAAGAAAAAGGTAAAATGAATGTGAGCCACACAAATTGTACAAAATGGGAAAGTGAGAAGTATTTTTGGGAACAACCCAAAAAGAAAAGTGGGAAGTATTTTTCTAATTACTCAACTTTGGCGAATAAAAAATGCATTGCTCAAATTTTTGAATTTTGTACTACTCAGAACAATTTTAAAGCACTGTTTTTACTCCTTAGAACAATTTTTTTAAAAAAAACGGACTGAGATTTAAAAGAAGCGTTTGGCGGAATGCCATAAAATAAAATAAAAACAAAAGCTAAAATATGATCAAGAATACGGAGTAGCATATAGTAGAATCACTTGGATGAGAAAACGCTGCTGCCAAAAGAATTTATCCAACCATTCCCAAATAGCTTTGACAACTTTTCTTAGTCAATAATGACAAATTTTGAAAAATGATTTTTAATTATTATACGTACTTACATACCAGTATAATTTATAAATTTTTATACTTTTATAAAAATATTTAAAAAAAGGAAAATTTTGATATGATTTTCATATTCAAAATAATTTCATAATAAAAATATCACTGGTAAAAAATGATTTTTATTAACTCAGAAAAATCAATTGAGCAAATCTTTTTGAACTAGAGATTAGTATGTATAAGTTGGAAAAAGTTGAACGGAGTAATTTGGAAGTATTTAAAGCATACCAAATAAGGTCCTATTTTACGGACATTGTACGACCTCATTGGTGACATGTGTTGTTTTTGGCTCCGTGAAACTATACTTCCAGCCTTAGGACGCCCTCTTTTTCCTACACTAACAATAAGTAAATAAAATATTATTATATGTTAAATAGAAATGAATTAGTAATTTTTCTCTAATGTGAATAACCTTACATTTTCTCCTACAAATAATAGTCTTCTCTCATTATAATTAACACACAATTAACAACAACTCTATTAAGAATACAAGCCCGTTTGATAACACTAATATTGGTTAAATTGGCTGATTCTGGTGAAATTTATGAAGTTCTGGCTGAATTGGTTGTATTGCTGATTCTGCCGATTCATGAAAAAATTATATTTAAAATATTTGTTATCAATAAATTAAATAAAAAATATATGAAAAATAGCTAAAATGATCATATACAATAATTTCAGCCAAAACAGCCAAAAAAACAACTTCAGCCTTACTTTTTCTGCTTATTACAAACTTCAGCGCGCGAAATAAAAAATTATGAATTTGATAGAAAAGCTTGGTGATAAGCTTGATAAGCTTGATAAGACGAAAAATGAGGTCACCAAACTGGCTCTACATGTAATATATTCTCTTATCTTATCTTTTAAGAGTACTTATTTCCTTCCATTTCTTAACATAGTCAACTACCACTAATTCAATCAACTTACTGCCAACATCCATGAGGACCATGCTATGTGCTCCATCTTTTCCAACATTATTCATTTTACCCTTCATGGAGCTTTTGATACGATTATTGTGTCTTTGGACATGTGCATCTTCTTCTTTAACTTCCACCATAGATACACCTGCACGCATACACACAAATGAATAGTGGTTTTTCTATCTAGAGTTGAATGGGAGTGGGCTAAAAATATTGTTCATAGAGTTTCGAACTCGAGACCTTCATGTACTTCATCTATTTTGTTCTTGCGTTAAATCTTATAGGTGTTGGTCAACTATGCCTTTTGTTAGGCAAATATACTTCCTTACTTCTTACATAAAATAGTGACTACCACATTTACCTGTGGTTGTAGACGACTTTGTTTATCAATGTATAATTGCGTATTTGTGAGGATTTAAAAAACAATAACTTCAAAATTTATCTGAAACAAATTTAGAAATGTATATACATAAAAGTAAAAACAGAACAAAATCACACGGGCATAAGAATATAAAGTACACGTCCAAACAAAAAATGATCCGAAAGTTCCTAGAATAGACGAAGCTAAATGTCGCGAGCATTTGAAATATAAATACGTAGTATTTGAGAAGATGTCACCAAAAATGACATAAGTTTAATTACTAAAATTAAAATAACCCACAGAGAACGTTTCATAATACAGAAATTAGCTGATTTGATTGATCTGCTAAAACTAATAAAGTTTTGACTGGAGTGACTATATTAATTAAATCTTCTGAATTATGAAGAAATTATATTTAAAATATATTTTACGAATAAAATAAAGAAAAAATATATGAAAAATACATAAAATAGTTATTTATAATAGTTTCAGCCAATTATTCATCCAGAAAAGTAACTGCAACCGTACTTATTTTGGTTATTACACAACTTAACACGCAAAATCAAAAGTTAAGTTTCTGATGAAAATTAAATGTTAGTTAATAATGCTGATAAACCAAAAAACATGGTCACCGAACAAGTTCATAATATTCCTTTTACATTTTTTGAAAAGTGATTGAAAAGTTTAGTGGAAATGTATAATATGAAGATAAAAAGAGTATGATCAAGTGTTGACCGTAGTATATAATTTATTGCGCTATAGATTACATTTTAAAATTGCAAATTATAACATGCTTAAGATATATGGAGTATTAGTAAATACTTAGTACAAAGATCATTTTACAATTATATAAATTGGATCAAACTTTGATAATAATAAAATACACGCAATAGATATTTGTCATGCTAGACGTCTAGATCTAGATTGTATTTGGATGGCCATTTAACTATTTAAGGTCCAAATAAACCGATATTTGATAGATCTAAACATAATTACTACCGTAGCATTTCAATCCAAACCTTTAACTTACCACAAGTTTTTGACAATTTTACCGTACCGTTATTCATTTTTTTAATATTGTAGTGTTTAATTCATGACAATTTTGATTGTTATTTCATATATATTGACTAATAAGTTTACTTGACTCACCTATCATTTTACTTTCAGCAACTTCTATCTCGATTCGAATAATACGTCAATGACCTCTAAAACTGACAATAATATCATCTAGTTTCAATTTATTTTTTTCTAACAACGTAATCCCAAACCGATGAGACGAGAATTTCAGTGCAAGTACAAACATGCTTACTCTGTATAAAAACCAAAATTCTGAAAAAAATTGAATGGTATGAATGAATGATAACCACTTACCGTCGTTATTGGTTTCGGACGTGCCGCCACCACTGCCGCTGCCGCTAGGGTAAAGATCTTTCTCGCAGCAAGAACGATCAAACATAGTGACCTTAAACTGCATGCTCCTACCCATACGCTTGAACACTACAAAATCTCCGACCGCCAATTCGTGTTGACGCACAAACTTGTTCCACCCTTCTGTCAACCATAGATTTCCTTCTTCGCATTTTGTTATTTCCACGACCCATCTTCCCTTTCGACTCTCTAACATAATCGTTCCTTTTGGCTCCATTCCGCGCAGCTTCTCACATATGATCGGGGGAAGCATCTGTCACGCATTCAATTAATATTTTTCCAAAACATATTTTACCTTATCGGTCCGTCCCACTAAGATTGTCTCATAATCTAGATCATTCTTACTTTATTCTTACTTTATCAATTCAATATCAACCGCATAAACTATTTTTTATTAATTTTCGTGTCACTCCCTCTTGTCCCATTGGTGGTGGGATAGAGGGAGTATTACATAAAAACAATGGAATTGAGTCGGACTTCACACGAATCTTTGACATGAATCTGCCAAAATTTATAGAATTTGACACAGATATCTCAAATCGGTGACAATTTCATCTTGTCATCGATTATTTGACACAACGTCATGTCAAAAATATGTCAAAATTCGATCAATTCGTGTCAAAGTCGTGTTTATTGTGTAGTATATTATTAAAGATTTAAATTAACAAAGGAGATCGAGAGGTGGCTTACAAGTTTTGTTTCAAAGCCAGGCATCAACACCTTGAAGAATCTTTGAAGTTCTTCTTCCATTACAATATACTCCGGAAATTCTATGAAATACGTATCACGGAAATTCTACTCTTTTTAATTAGTTTCCCTATGTTGTCGACGGCCGAGTTAAGCTAGGTAATTAATACACCTAGGTTTATAATTACTCAGGAATCATGATTGGGCTATGTCACGGTAAATAAGATACTCCATAGTCCATATTACGTATCTTGTTCTTGGTCACAATATGATGGGCCGTTATTGTACACAAATGTGGCGGTTTATTTGCAAATGTTTAAACAAAAAGGATTAAGTTGCAAATACCTATGCTGTCATGGTAGGTTTTGTAAAACTTCCAAAACATGAGTAAATCAAGATAGTTTCCCTAATTAGCATTATTAAGCTTTTATTTATCTCGAAGTGATGTTTTATTTTGGATTGTTTTCAATCCCATATCAGACCAGATCAAACTAAATAGAACCAGATCAGACCAGACTTCAATAGACCTGATCAGATCAGACCAGACTAGTTCAGACTAAACCAGATTAGACCAGACCAACAAATTTCAGTTCAAAAGAAAACATACTATAAAAGTCCATGGATTTTAAAAGTTCAGATGTATTCAATGTGCACTTTTAAAAGTCTATGGTGTATTCAATTTAGATTTTTAAAAGTTTATAAAAGTCTAGGTGTATTCAAATTTATGTTCACTCTTATTGACTACTAAAATCATGGATTCTCATTGACTTTTAACTCATTCTAAGTTCATTAATTCTCTGCAAGTATCTCTTCTCCTCACCAAAGATTTTTGTGGACTTTTCTGTTTTCTTCTACTTGTCACAAGTACACATAGATCTGGTTGCAGATTTGGTTAATTATTTACCTGGGATCAGAAACCGGTCAACAAGTCCTGGACTAGCTAGTACCGGTCGGGTCCAGAGGTGGGTACCAAGATGTTCTCATTATGCAAGATTTGAACACTAAATTTTAATTTTTTTTTATCATTTTACGATAAATAAAGTTGTGAACACTAAATTTTTATTTTTTTTATCATTTTACGATAAATAAAGTTGAACAAGGAGATTTTACTTTAATACTAATACACAATAAAAAATTAAAAAAAAGTGATATTTTTTATGTCGTCTTACGAAGAAAAATGTAGGGATGAGACCGGTTCAATTTTTGAAAGAATATTAGAAATCATTTAAGGAAGCGTTATACCCATATCAATCCGGTTCTAGAAGTGTTTAGAAGAATCGATATAAAAATCGATAATATTACATCAATGCAATTTTGGTACGTTCTCAGTTAACCATTGAGAAAAAAAATATTGTAACTATTACTGTCTTTCATCGTTAAATCGCTAACACATAAAAATATAATTTCAAATTAATAAATCTTTAACCGTAATTGATTATACAAAATTTAACAAGCTAACAATGAAAGGCAAACAATTATTAAGAAGAAAAGATCGATTGCGCTTATGCTTGTATCACATGCATCAAGGAGTTTAACACTTGTGTAACGATTAATGTTCTTACTCTTTGAGTTGTGTAATATAACAATTGATCAAAAAGAGACCGAGATTGTTGAGCATTCTCGAAACTTTGAGTTTTATTTTTAATAAAAATAAATTTGGATTATTATGCTTCATACTCCCTTTGTTCTTTTTTAGTTGCAACGGTCAACATTTTACATTTGCCAACGCATGTCTTTGACCATAATTATATCTTTATTCTACTAGTAAAAAAAATTAAAAATCAGATTTTGAAAAATTGTAATGAGATGAATTGAACAATTTTTTTAAAAAAATAAATTTCATAAAATAATAGCATAAAATGTAGTTAAAGTAGAGCATGTGAATAGTGTGAAATTCAACAAGTTGCGATTAAAACGGAACGGAGGATAGTATTTTCTTGTAGAACTCTGCGTTGCTTGATGAATTAAATTTGTTTTATTTATTTATTTATTTGTTTGTTTGTTTGATTTTAAATAACTCAAAGTAGGACTAAAACATACTACGAATCATTTTTCCAAAGTATGATCATATGTTTAATTTTCCTTAAATAAGACTAAATATTACATTTCTACCCCTAATATAATTGCATTTCCCTTGCATAACCAACATCATGTTATTGGTGGCGGATCAGTCCGATGACAACGGCGACGAACTCCGGTGACGGAGGCGGACAAGCATATCTGTAGCGGCGATCTAGGTGAAAATTCTGAGTTCTGACGACTCAACAGTGGCGGTCCCGATTTAAATGTCTATGGACTTTTTGAAAGTATATAAACTTATCCATGGATTTATAAGTCAATAGAATTTATTCTTAAAAAAGTCTATGGATTCAAAGGTCTGATTTTTCTAAAAGTCCATGGATTATAAAAAACCCACCACAATCCATATTAAATACACCCTCTTAAGACTATAATATTTATCATATACTTTTATCTTTTTTTTTGGGGGGGGGGGGGGGGGGGGGGGGGGGGAAGACGGCTTAAATCGATATCAAAGCATTCAACAAGGGAACAACAAGATAAAAGGACCTTTTCCAACCGCCGACCCTCGAACTAGACTTAGAGGCAATCACCCTGGAAAAAGTAATATGACTCGCTGATCCTATAATGGGTCTAAATGAGCCTAACGTAGTTAGAATAGACCCCTCATCACCCTACCTAATGCAAGAGTCTAACCGGTGAAATAAAAAAGCAGAAAACAACAACGATAGTATGATCAAAGTAATAAATAACAATGAAAATAAAATAGTGGGAATTCAGCTGCACCCTCCCGCCGCTGACAGCGGGCCTCCTCATAGCTCTCGGCGGGTCTAGTGTCCGAGACCCGCCTCTTCCTCGTTTTTTGAGTTGTCCAGCGCCATAATGTCTCTGCCATCCTCCTCATACTCCCACGTTCTTCACCTCTTCTGCTCCCCTGATGATCCCTCCATAGTCATTATTTCATTCTCCTTTGCTTCCTTTGGACCACCACTTACCTCAATAATTGTCCCACTCTGCCCCTCTTGCACAATCATCTCATTGCTGGTGCTAGTAACCCCCCCCCCCCCCCTGCTTCTCTTGCTTACACGGTCCACTTCCGCTTAAGGAGTCTTATGTGACTATCCATTTGTTAGCCCTCATCGGTGGAGTTTTCCCTCCCCCACTAGCTCGAAGAATAACCCCAACGGTTTAGCCACAACTTTGTTTTGGGAAAAAAACGGCTTAAATTGATAAGCCAAGGGACAAAACCTGTCTGTGTGACCAATGATACCACAGGCAAAGCAAAAGCTAGGTAGTTTTTCATATTTGAAATCCACCCTATGGCCTGGACCCCTCCCTTTCCGTAGCGTCGTGCCCGTTTTCAGGGCTTTTCCCACATCCATACAAACCCTAATTCTCATGTATGAGTTCAACCGATCAGCAAACTGACTTTCGTCAAAACTGATAAATTTGCCAATTAAGTTACCAACCCTCCTAGTCATCCCTAAATTCATATAATCATAAGGTATGTTGTGTACCTGTACCCAAAATTTAGCGTCATTTAGGGGAACCTGAAGAGGGATGTTCCCCGGTTTCAGCGCCCTCAATACCAGTAAATTTTGTTCATACAACCACGGACCTCCTCCTAGCACCCGTTCCATATCAATAATATGGTAAAAAGTATACAAATACCTCTTGTCTCCGATTTCTTTGATAGATATTCCCTTCCCTGGGCGCCAAATAAAAGCCATGAGATCCCTGAACACCAGAAATTTCACCATTCTGTCCGTGAGAACAGTTCCAACAACCAGGAAGGTTTCGCTTCAGGACAAAGAATCTCCCTCGTGATCCAACTCCTCGTCCAGAACCAGTTCCTCCTCATCCCCGCCGAGCTCCAAATTGTCGTACTTGCTGACCACATCATCCATCTCTGTCGGAAGCTATCGATGTGTACTCGCTCCTTTAAGGAATCCCTATTGCGGAAACGATGTGTTGTGCGACACTCCACCACACCCTCGCGCGAGACAGGAGCAGTGCCTTAGAGTCGTCCTTTTCGTTTGCCTTCCTGCGGCGACGGCGCACAGAGGAAGCCGAAAACCTCAAACCCTACTAGAGGGAGTCGACTGCTTCATAGACATAATACTCCGTTATATTGCATCATATACTTTTATCTGGTAATTAAAATATGATATTATCCTCGCAAAAGAAAAATAAGATTATGGCATTATACTACGGACATTGTTGGTCCAAAATAGGATGCTCGTAGACTTTTAGGAAAGCTACGTATGACACTCAAGCGGGAATCAAGAAAGTAATATGAATAAGGAAAGTTGCAAAGGGATTTGGTAGCCAGAAATAGCATATAGAAGTTGTCTCCCCTAATCTGAATTACAACCCGCCTTTTATAGGCGTATACAAATCGTAACCGTTACCGATAATAATGACCAATTAATTACAACATTAATACGGAATTAAATACATAATTAATAGCGCAGTAATTGCTCGACCGTTACTCTTCCGGGCTAAGAGGTCGACCGGACTAGCAGGCTCCCCGCCGGGCTGGCGGGCAGGCTCCAGGTTATGGACTTGGATCCATGGGTCCAAGTTCGGGGCTTGGGCCGATTAGGCTCTTGGCCTAGTCCCATTACTCCATCACGAGTCCCCCACTCCCTTAGTCGAGTAGTAGACTCGGCTAAGAGGGAGTAGTCCAAGTTAGTTGCTCTTCTCCGAGACTAGAAAATCCCCGCCCTTATCCATGTTGGGGAGATGCCTCATTAAAAACCTTCATTAGGAAAAAACCCAATGGGAAAAAATCCTAATGAAGGGAAAAGAGTACATCTGATGCCCCCAAGATGAAGAAAGAGGTGAGATCCTCAGCCTTTATTGCAATGATCTCCATATGCGAATAGGATGGCTAGAACTGTTCTTCTCGTCGGACTCAGACTCGTCAGGTTTGTCATTTGCTTCCTTGAAGACGATAAGACCCTCAGTCCCCCACTTCATTAAGTTATACCTACACATAAAAGAAACTAGTGTAGAATAGAGCATCTGACCTGGTGTTGAACCACGGCTCGGTGTGTAAGTGAGTCGGACTCACTACTTGAAAAGAATGACATCAAGTTCCCAAGTTAGGCCTCAACCCAGTC